CCCAAAGTGGCTCTCTGACGACTATTCAAGAGTTCCCGAAAACGAGTAAACACCTCGCTCATAAAACGGGGAACTGGATCGTGCCGAATCATTGAACTCGCTCCAAAGTTCCGGAATACACGTTCCTCGTAAGCTTCCGCGACATCCTGAGCGGTGGCTGAACCCATCGGTCTGCACATCACATACCCAGAAAACATAATTTGGAATAGTAGCAAAAACGTATTCCCCTCGGTCGGACTTCGACATGTGCGTCACGAAGCCCATCGAAACCACTTCGAAAGGTTGTCGGGGTTCGATATTCCCGGGCGATGGACCAGCGTTTGGAGGTTTTCCTTTTCCCCTCTCACATCAACGCATTCCTTCACAAAGTGTTCTACATCCGCGTACATGTCAGGCCAATATAATTCTGAGCATAACATCTTATGGGTCCTGGTGATGCCTTGGTGACCTCCTTGGAAATCTTCTTGACCATATTGTAAGACATCGTCTCTGAGTGCTTTTGGAACGACGAGTCGGGGTTCATCCTGAAAGTCACCCGGGCGATCGCGAGTCGAGCGAGCTAGTCGATACAACACATCCCTAGTGCCTAGTACGAATAGATCGGCAACCTTGGCAACCTTTCTCAGTCTTCTGGGCGAAAACGTCTCGACATTCTCCTTCAGAAAGTCTTTAATCTCTGACAGGTACTCATCTGTATCCTGATGCACTCGGATGCGAATTCCAAAGGGTCCATGGGCCGGGCCCTCGAAGTGGATTCGGCTTGGTTTCTGGAACGCGTTACTGCTGCAAGCGCGCGGACTGATTTTGTCAATGGAACTGACTCCGCAGTAGGCTGCTCGACGTTTCTTTACAGTGTTTCCACAGAAGTAGGATCAACTCCAGATTTCCACTCGGAATCTTCCACCTTCACGAGTTTCTCTGCGATATTTGACACGTGCTCCAAATGTGCAATCTCAGTCGTGTCCGTAACATCCCAGGCCTCATCCATAATCAGAGTCTTTGTGGTCAAATAATCGGCGGCCTGATTGTATTTCCGCTTCAGATCGTAACGATCCGAACTTCTCTTCCAGTAACTCAACTTTGGCAAGATGCCTTTGGAGATGTGGTTGATTGCAGTTAATCAGTCCTGCAACCTGTTGAATAACAATGCGAGCGTCCCCAGCTGCCACCAAATCTTGCAACCGCATTTCGATGGCCATCTCGAGTCCTTTGAGAAGTCTGTGGTACACGGAATCGTTCACTGTGACATTCTCTAAAAGGAAACCTTTCGCATTCAGAACTTTCCAACCGGGTAACTGCCATAACACACAGCCACAACCTCTCTTGGTGGAGAGTTTTGCGGCACCGTCGAAACTCAGCACGACTCCTTGGAAAGCACTTCCCAACATCTCAACGCTCACTACTGGGGGCCTTCGAACGTGTCCCTTTAGGGGGATCAACGTCTCAACGACCTCATCCAAATGTTCTCTTGATGTGATCCCTTGCAAGTCCGTCTTCATCCTTTTGGACTTTTCGAGTTTCGATATCCCAATGTGAGCGCGTGACTCCCCAAGGAGCACACCTCCCGTCTGCCGACTTAGACTGTAACACCCATTTCAGAAGGGATATCTTGTGTAGATGATCACTCGTCGGCCTTCCAGAATAGTCCGAAAGACTTGTAACGCCCTCAGGATAGCAATCACTCCCTTCTCGGCAATGTGATACCGGAGCTCGGCATCGTTCAGAACGCGTCGCGTGTACCGAACAGGGTGTATCTTCCCGTTGTATTCTTGTCCTAACGACTGCACAAGCAGCCCAACGGTTCGCGTGTGGGATGATCACAAATGGCTTTTGGATGTCCGGATGTCACAACATTGGCGTCGCTACGATTTTCCTTTTAAGCAATTCGAATGATTCATGAGCTCGTGAGAGGTCTCGTTCCTGATGTATCTGGTCCTCATAAAGAACTTCTGCCACTACCAGAAAATATTCGATGAACTTATGGTAGTAGTTCAGACTTCCAAGAAACGATAGCACATCTTTGTGAGATTTGGGGAACGATAGATCGATACCACCCTTCGCAACTTTTGGGATCGCTCGGATACCTTCCGCACTAATTACATGTGACAGATAGGAGATCGACCGTTTTCCAAACTCACTTTTAGGCAAACTCACCGAGATGTTCTAGTAACGTAAGCGATAGAGTAAAGTGTCCTGGTCCTTACACAGTTGGTTCTATGTTTTCGCGCCATGGGCGATATCATCGATATAAGAACTGCGTCCTAGTACTGGACCGATGTGTGAAGGCATGGGAATATTCCTTTGGAAAACTGTCATTGAGTGCCCTTTACCTCGTCGTTTGGACAGCCCCTTCCGGATTCTCGATTTTCTGCAGGATCCAAACCTAGGAAATCCAAGACATCTTGATCGACTTC